ATTAATTGCCTACGAAGTAAAAGGTTATTCTTTGTGTAACTGCTCGTATATCTACTCTCTGTGCTAAGTACTACAGGCAGAAATACCAGGGTCTGTTCACATGGTAGCCTGAGCTCCAAAAGTTCTTTCACAGGCATCTTAAAAGCTAAACTCTCTTTTTAATTCCACAATATCAAAGACCTTTATTAATTACAGAATGTTTTAGGAATCCTATCATATATTTGAGACTTACACATAAGTGATTTAGAACACATATTATTGTACTTATGAACATACATTTTAAGATCATAGAATCATAGTATCAGAGGGTTGGAAAAGACCTCCAAGATCATCCGGTCCAACCACCCACCCCAGTGGGTGTCCCAGTGGTGTCTCCAGTGGGTTTTCCAGTGGTGTCCCCCAATGATCTGTCTTGGGACTGATTCAGTGACAAAAATAGTGGGATTGAGCACACCTTCAGCAAATTTGCTGATGACACCAAGCTGAGCAGTGCAGATGACACAACAGAAGGAAGGAACACCATCCAAAGGGGCCTGGACAGGCCTGAGGAGTGAGCCCACGTGAACCTAATGAGGTTCAACAAGGCCAACTGCAGGTGTTGCACTTGGGTCAGGGCAAACATGGATATATAAATACAGATTGGTAGAAGAACTCCTTGAGAGCAGCCCTGCTGCGACTGGACCTAGGTGATCTCTAAGGTTCTTTCCAACCTAAGCCATTCTGTGACTCGATGACTTTATGACTTGAGAGCACACCCCGGATCAGAGCCAAAGGATTTAATGGGCACTAAAAAGACAAACTCTTGTGATGTCATCATCCCTGGGCTTCCTCTCCAGGTATTCCAGAGTCTGTCTGTTGGACAAAGGGTTGCTGAGGAGCTGCTCTGAATGCAGCAATGCTGTCCTTCTGGAGCAGGGATAACACAAAGCTCTGTGTCCAGCAACGCAGCTCCATGGGACACCCTTCTTTCTATCTTTGGTGGTATGATCTGCAAAATGAGCTCTCGGCCTCTGACACCAGTCAGAAACCAGATGAGAGGAAATTCCATGAAGATGAGGAAGGCTTTGGGAGGATTGAAAGGGAAATCCTGTTTTGGTGCTGCACTGGCATTTTGATTATCTGCCTTCTCTGCTGTGCTTACACTCGAGTAAGATATCATTTAATGTTGTGTTTTGTGCTGACACCTGCTGGACTCCAGCAGAAGCCCATTATGAGCCTTGTGAAGAACTTCTAAGGAAGTTATTATTTGTAATTATCTCAAGGGATGATGTTGCTGTTAGACTACCTTTAATCTCCAGGTATAAGTAAGCGATCGTATCTCCCTTGGTACCATTTCCATCCTCTTCTGATTATTACTAGTTAGTAATTAGCTGAAAAGTGGAAGGCATGGATTTCCTAATTTAAAGAAACATAAGTTGGATGTAAATAGCTTCACTGCAACCAGTCTTATTTCATTGGCACAGAGCTACATGGGGAGATCAATATGAGGGTTTTGATCCTAAAATGATGCCAGTGCTGTCTAGTAATGGTGAGCCAAGTACTTAAATCCTTACTCATTCTTTTTCTGGGGCATTGCTAAGGTGCCTTGTGGATTAGGAACGAAGAAGTAATCCATTACTTACAGAAATAATAGTTCTCCCAGCAGTAATCCACAATGAATTGCATTATAGACAATTGCACTGGATTAACTTAGACCAGACAGGGCAGAGTTACAGATGGAGCCCCTTTGCTGTGCTGCTGTTGCAGGTTGACAAACATTTCTATGTATCGTAGCATGTGTTTTCCCCCTGGATATGAAGGAAGCAGTGTTGATACACTGTTCTAAGTAACAAATGTTATTTTCCTGAAACAGATCTTCCGGAAAGCTCGAGATAAAAGGTTATGTTCTGACAAAAGAGAGAACACTTCCAAAGGTAAAGATGAGTTTTGTAAATTTGTGCATAGGATTCACCAAAGTTGGACACAAAATGCCCCAGGACCCCTTGAGAGAGCAGGAGGTGATGTGTGGGGAGAGGGCAGAGGGGAAATGAGGGGCACCAGGAGAGCAGCACTGCTTGTCCTCCCGTCCCACTCCCTCTCCTCCACTTTCCTACAAATTGCCAAACACTTGTTTTTAGCCACAGGATGGGAGATAAGTGGAGCCACAGGTCTTAGACTCCATCTCAGACGTGCTCTGAGGGCACAGTGAGAACAGATGCTTCCTCTTCCTACCCAGCCTTTACCCTTCCCTCATCACAGGAGAGACTGCCATGCTGTATCTTGGTTGCATTTTTCAGACACGGGCAATGACAGAAGGTCCAAACTTTACCAAAACGAGTGACTCCCTCTAAGCTTGATGGCTTAACTCTTCATTTAACCCTTCACTTGTTAACGTGCCACCGCAGGATTTGTGATTCACTGCGTGGGACAGCATTTTGGGACTGCGCAGAGCATCCCGCTGCCCACACAAACGTGTCAGGGCCTCACATGGGGCAGCCTCCCACACATCCTCCGCCCATTGGGAGCTGCATTTAAGCTGAGGGCTTTCATTTGGTCGTTTGAGCTGCTGTGGATTCTGAGAGTTCTCGTAGCTCTAGACAACCTGCCCTTGGACCTGCATTGCAACTGTGGACTTATCTGGGGATCTGGACTGGCTGTCGTTGGTTGGTGTCACCAGACTTGTTTTGCTCCTCGTGTTTGGGTCCTGCGGGGCCGTGCTGCTTGCGGTGAGCTCTCTACCTTACCTGCCTTTGCTGTCACCTTTGGCTTCTGGCTCTCTGTAGTGGTACACCCCTTCTCTTGCTGCTCCATCATTTGCTCTGGTGTTCTGAACCCTGAGTGGAGCACTATGAGGTTGACTTTCAGCCCGCATAGGGCTTTTCCCATACGATTTTCCCTGGGGTTCAGCCCTGCAGGACCTCATGGCTACACAGGGAGGTCACAGCCTTCTGTAATCACCACAGAAGATTGGGAGTGGGTGCAAAGACTTGGACTTAAATGCAGTGGGTGGAGGCATTAAATGGGGCTGGTCAGGGTACTTGTTGGTATGCTCTGGGCCCTGACATAATATTTGTCAGAATCTCTTGGCAGCCTTTAGCTCCATGCAGGATATAGCGTGACTAATGAAGCAAGCTGTAATTTCACCCTAATTTAAGCTTCTCCATCCTGTTTTGAAAGAGTGAATCCACAGGAGGTGCCGTGGACGCACTGTCAGTTCTCTACAGAATTTTGAAGGCTGCAGTTTGAATTTGTGTTTCACCAGAATTATTGCAGTGCTAAAAGCAGGAAATCCTCCTGGTGGATCGTGTCTTTAAGGAGAAACTCACCTTACCTGATTTACTTTGAGGGGAGAGGAGATCTGCTCATTTCCCATGGACACCGGAGACCTGTGGACTCACAGGAACCCATTTTTAGCTCCTTGCAGAGTGTGTGGTCTCCATAAAATGCTCCCAAGATACAGCCATTGCAGGGTGACTAACTCCTTTTTGCCAAAACAGGAATAATCCCTGCCTGAGGCTCCCTTGGAAGAGACTGGGATGAGCTGTGCACGCACATGATGGGTAGAAGTAGCAGGGCAGGAGTGGAAACTGGGGGAGGTGGTGATAAACTGTAGAATCACTTGAGTTGGAAGGGACCCTTCAAGGTCATCTGGCCCAACTCCCCTGCAAGGAACAGGAACACCTACAGCTTGATCAGCTTGCTCAGAGCCCCATCCTACCCGACCTTGAGTGTCTCCAAGGATGGGGCATCCACCACCTCTCTGGGCAATCTGTTTAGAGCAGCGTGGGTGAGGTCTCTTTAATAAGAACTTCCTTTGAGGATTTATTCAGAGATTTATTTTCCTCAGTCCTTCACCAAGATTTTCAGGGTGGAAGGCATGGCTCCTGGGAGGGCAATCTGAGGCTGACTGCAGAGTAGCTGAACTGTCTCTGTTCTCTCCCATATTAGTTCCCAGTAGCCCTATCTACGCATTTTACAGCACTTTCAATGCCTGGCTCTTCCTTAGTAACGTTTATAATGGGATAAAGAAAAAGTGCATCCAACAGCCCTGCATCTCTGCCTGTCACTCTGAGACAACCACAGCGATGCGTTCCTGCGATCAAAGGCAAGAGAAGCAGTTCTCAAAGCTCAGCCAGGAGAGAACCTCCAGTGTTGACAATGGCAACTCATACAGCTGGGCACCAGTGTGGAAGGCCAACGAGATGCAGTCCATCCCCCATGAAGTGAGCCATAAACAGCGTTCAGCACAAAGGCAAAGGGAGACAAAGAGCTTTTGGATCAGGGAACAGCCCTGTGGGCATTGTAAGGCTGAGAGGCTCCAGCAGTGGCTGCACCAGCACTTTATTGAGCCTTCTGAGAATTCTTCATTAGATAAGGACGTCTGGCAAGGTTATCCAAGGAGAGTAGCTGCAGAGCTGAGTTCCTGAGTTCCTGTTCACCCATGGCTTCGTTTCTGCTCATACTGTGCATTGTCTTCATGTGAAACTTGCTGCATCCTTAATTTGCATGAAGAACTGAATCCATATGAAATCACCACATCTGAAGATTGGAGATGCTAGTTTCAATAAAAAATATATATAATAGAATATATAACTTGTGAGCTGGAGCTCATCCTTCAAAATAACTGGTCAGTTCAAGCATTTTTGATAGGGTGAGATCTTTCTGCTGTGGTAGGCTACTGGGGTAGGAGAAAAACCCATGGCCAAGAATCTACAGGTAGGATTCCTTGCTCCCAGAAACAGTTGGGATAACATTAAATTTCATTCTACTTTCCTCTTCCTGGAAAAACGTTTACTAGAATTCTTTGTGAGCAAAGCATTGAAAATAATTCTTTACTGGTTTGAACCCGAGTGGAAAAAAAATTCTGGAGCAGAAATTGGCCTTCTGTCTATTGGTTGCCTTGAAATGCTGATACCTGTGAGAATTTAATCACATGGGATTCATGTGTTTTGAAGAAGGGATTCCTAACAAGTTCTGTATAAATTCCCCTTTGCTAGACTGAATTGCCCTTTGCATCAACCATGAAGCTGATTTTGATCTTCAGTGCCCTCTTTGGGGCTGCCTTGTGCCTGGAAACTTTTGTTGGGTGAGTCATGCTTTTGTGCAAGACCTTTCACTGCAAGACTCTATTTTCCACTTGTTTTTCTTCCTTATCTTTACAAAATCAGCTTGGGGAACATTCTTTGCTTTTTATGACCAACTTGTTCCACAGCTTTGGCTCTCCCTTGTTTGAAGGAATCCCTTTAGTTTCATCTGACTCGTTTGAGGAGAAGGGTTTAGTTGCAGAGTTGAGCTCCAAAATTCACATTCAAGCAAAGCTCTGTTGCAGCTTTGATGCAGGCTAAGGAGAGATCTCAACCAAGACCTGAAGTTGAACCTCACTGCAGCACTTGAGAGAGTTCAGATCTGATCCAGCACAGACCAGAGCCAGAAGATCACAGCCTGCCTTTAGGTCTGAAGGGTCAATAGTTTCCCATTGTTTTTGAAGGTTCCTATTTCTCTTTAAACACATAATACCCTTCAGAGCCTTTCTAAATAACTTGAATCTTTATTTCCAACCATTCTGAAGGTTCTTCTGTACGTTGCATTGCAAAATTATTCCTGATCTGTTTCCTCACTGCCTCATGGACCCCATAGGAAATAATAAAAGGAAATAATAGAAAACCTAAGAGTAACAGATGTAGTGAGTGAACACTGGATTCTACTGAGTAGATCTCTACATTGAAATGTAAGGATTAAGAGAAAGAAAAATAATACATATTATTTACTAAAATTCAAGTAATATTGTTAATATCAAGGCCAGGAGAACCTATTAATCTGATTCCTGGCACAATGCAGACTGGGTTCTTGTGAATTCATTCCTCAGTCACATCCAGAAATATGGTTAGTGATCCTCATCTCTTCTTCAGGGAAGAATCTAATTCAACATAAATCATGGAGAATCCAATAGTAAGTTAAAGTGGTAAAGTGCCTTCTTTGTAAAAGAATTTTACACCTCAGTTAAGCAGGTCAAGGAAACTGGAGTTGAAGAGCTTTTCTTCTCAGCAGCTGAGGTCACACTAGCAAACAAATACACACATAATGGAGCTCCTATGTTAAGTTTCTTCTTTACCTTTTCCTACAATGTGATTTCCAATTCTGCAGTTGCTCATGTTGATTTGCACTGAGTTATCTCCATTTTCCAGCACTGCTTGCACTGAGCCAGGTTGGGATATGGGGCCTCATGGATGTTGGCTGTCTCCAACAGTAGCCTAGGGAAGAGGATGCAAACAAACCCATCCCCATATGCCACCAGCAAAGGCAGCATCAGCACTGCTCACTTTCCCTAAACCACCTGGATCACTGTGTATCATTTTCATGTTCTCAAAACCACTTAGGGACATCGTGATGGCTGCGTTGTGCTGTAGTCAAAATCAATGTCTGAGATTACCCCTGTGAGCAGCAGAGCAAGGAGCTTCCCGGAGGGGATTAACTCCACCTGGATTTACAAGCCACTCTCTCATGGTAACGCAGGGGAATTTGTCAATAGCCTGACTAGACTGAGGAAAAGTGAAACAAGCCCCACATTTAGTGTTCTCTCTGCTTTGTTTGCTCTGCAAACATTCGATGGTTCACAATTATTTTTTTCCTAGCAAGTTCTTGACAAGAAGAACGAATAGATAGAGCATGAATCCTTGTAGCCAATTAACAACTCATCCACACGATGTATTGTTTGTGATGAGATCTTGAGCATTCCCTTTATCTTGTTACTAATCCGCTGCCCGTATACCAGGCTGGTTCTGTAGGTTGTAGATTGAACTCCTGGGCAGCACTGTCAACTAAATTAAAGAAGTCAATGTGGGCTGATGTGGCCTAGTGGGGGTGGTGGTGTGTTGTGTTGGTGGTTGGGCTGGATGATCGTTGTGGTCTTTTTTCAAACTGTATGTTTCTACGATTCTATAACTACTCAACAAATTTGTAATCTCAAGAGTAAGTTCAACCAGACCCCTTCTCAATCATAGGGTCATAGATTGGCTTGGATTGGAAGGGACCTCAAAGGTGATCTAGTTCCAACCAAGGCTGTTTCTAATTTATTGCAGGCACCAGGTTCTCCGTATCAAGACAAGAAATGGGGAACAACTGAAGAAGCTACAGTTTTTGGAAACATTGGATCATCTTGAGGTATTTCACTGCCACAGTGGCATTATTTAACACCTCAGTCTGAAGTAGGGTTTAGCCTGGTAGGACTTTGCATTAGATCTGGAAGGTTTGCACCATGGCATGGGGAGATACTGTCACAACATGTGTTTTTTAATCTGCTAGTTCCACTGTCAGCCTTGCAGTCAGGAGTGCCTGCATCCAAATTTTCTCCCTATTGGGTTTACAGTTGTATTTGAACTGTTCTTGATCTTAGGATCAAAACCCCATTGTGAAAATGGGGATGCTAATACTTTTTTACTTGTCACCCAGAGCAGTGGAAAGAATTTGTTAATCAATCTGCATTACACTGAAACAGGAAGTATGTTATTAAGTTCTCAGTTATTACTGTTCTTATTGCCATTGGTGAGAATTTTTCTTATCACTTTCTTTAAAAAAATATATTGATTTGAATATTATAGAAACTAGACTTTAGAACAGCCCAACCAAAGGAGAAATAAAAGCAATGCTTTTCATATTCTTGAAACTACTGCTCCTAAAAGGAAGAGTAGTAAAATGATCTCCATAGAAGGTGAACATTTCCTTCTGCAGGATGGGGAGCAACACTGCAGGAGTTCCTCAACTTTGGAAGAAATCTGTTTCTAAACCTTTAGGAAAACTATTGCAAAGCACACTGTCCCCCAAACCAAATCCATTTTCTCTTTTCAGCTTGATTTCTGGTTAAATCCCTCCACCCCTGCTCTCCCTGTGGATGTACGAATCCCTGCTCACAGCCTCCAGGCAGTCAAAGTCTTCCTGGAGTCCCATGGGATTGAGTACTCAGTCCTGATTGAAGACCTGCAGGTAGGCAATGCCGTGTGATCAGCTTTTAAATCCTGGGGAACCAAATATGACTCTCAGTCTGGCCTCTTTCAATGAGTGTGCAGTGCCACCGTTTCATTATTTGACAAATGTTTGGTCACAAGTTTGGAAGTGAAGCATGCTTTCCAACAATTGAATGGCTTATTTCAGGTCGTTCTCGACAGAGAAAAGCAAGATATAGTTGCCAGTCAACAAATGGAACGCAGCAGCAGCACTTTCAACTATGGAGCTTACCATTCTTTAGCTTCTGTGAGTATGTCAGATCCAGATTTTGGGGAAGATTATTCTTTTTTTCTGGCCTTTTTTTTTTTCATGCTGTCTTCAATCAAACATATTAAGATTGAAAATTCCTTTCTTCTGGTAGATAGTTTGGTTTTTAAATGTATAAATTTCATGGTCAGTCAGCATGGGAAGCCAACGCTCCCTCACAGAGTGTTGGAACAGGCAAGTGCTGATTGTACTTCGTGCTAAACTTCAACAGAGTTCTGCCAAAGCCTCTCAGTTCTGATCTTCAAATGAAACTGAGAAATAAACGAATGTAAAAAAATACAGGATGCTGGTAACCATCCTGTAGATGGAGGGAAAATATGTTTACTACCAGAAGTTATTAAAGAAGGTTTTGAAAGAAGTTTTTGAACTTATTTCTGTAATAAATGGATCTTGATCCAGGCTGGATGTGGCTCTGGGCAGCCTGGTCTGGTGGTTGGTGACCCTGCACATAGCAGGGGGGTTGAAACTGGACGATCATGGTTGTCTTTTTCAACCCAGGCCATTCTATGACTCAGTGATGGCTAGGCAGTGCTTCTGTCTACATCTTTGATGTTGGGAACAGCACTGACTATGCTGATATAAAGTGTGGTGAGGTTTTGGCAAGACCATGGCAAGGAGATAAAAGTGGATTTCAGCAGGACCTGCAGTTTTCTGGGCAGTGCTGCACATAAATGTGATGTAAAAGGCATCGTGGCTTTTCATTTCAGATTTACCAAGAACTGGACAATCTTGCATCTGAGTATGGCAGCATTGTCAGTAAGATCCAGATTGGGGAATCCTATGAAAATCGGCCGTTGTATGCGCTCAAGGTACGGTACATCCCACATCACAGCGTGCATATGAATATAGCGGTACTAACAATTGCCTGGGAAGACCCAGGCAATTATAGGCCAGTCAGCCTCACCTCTGTCCCTGGAAAGGTGATGGAACAGCTTGTACTGGATGTCATCTCCAGACAACTGGAAGAAAAGGAGGTTATCAAGAGTAGTCAGCACGGGTTCACTAGGAGGAGGTTGTGCTTGACCAACCTGGTAGCCTTCTATGATGTTGTCTCTGGCTGGGTGGATGGGGGGAAAGCAGTGGATGTAGTCTGCCTTGATTTCAGCAAGGCTTTTGATCCTGTCCCCCATGACATCCTTATAACATAGCTGAGGAAGTGTGGGATAGATGAGTGGACAGTGAGGTGGGTTGAGAACTGGCTGACTGGCAGAGCACAGAGGGTCGTTGTTGGCGGTGCAGAGTCCAGTTGGAGACCCATAAGCAGCGGTGTTCCTCAGGGGTCGGTGCTGGGTCCTTGTTCAACATCTTCATCAATGACCTTGATGAGGGGATGGTGGCCACCCTCAGCAAGTTTGCTAATGATACGAAGTTGGGAGGATTGGCTGACAGCCTGAAGGCTGTGTTGCCATTCAGCGAGACCTGGACAGGCTGAGAGCTGGGCAAAAAAAAAACGGATGAGGTTTAACAAAAGCAAGTGTAGAGTCTTGCATCTGGGGAGGAATAATTGCATGCACCAGTACAGGTTGGGGGATGAGCTGCTGGAGAGGAGCTCTGCGGAGAGGGACCGGGGTGTCCTGGTGGACGACAGGTTGCCATGAGCCAGCAGTGTGCCCTTGTGGCCAAAAAGGCCAATGGCTTACTGGGGTGCATTAAAAAGAGCGTGGCCAGCAGGTCGAGGGAGGTGATCCTCCCCCTCTGCTCTGCCCTGGTGAGGCCTCACCTGGAGCACTGCGTCCAGTTCTGGGCTCCCCAGTACAAAACAGACAGGGATCTCTTGGGAAGCATCCAGTGGAGGGCCACAAAGATGGTGAGGGGCCTGGAGCATCTCTGCTATGAGGAAAGGCTGAGTGAACTGGGTCTGTTCAGCCTTGAGAAAAGAAGACTGAGAGGGGACCTGATCCAGGTCTATAAGTATCTAAGGTGTTGGGGGCAGAATGGCGAGGCTGGACTCTTTTCAGTGGTGAGTGGAGACAGGACAAGGGGAAATGGCCGGAAACTGCAGCATAGGAAGTTCTGCACCAATGTGCACAAGAACTTCTTTACAGTGAGGTGATGGAGCACTGGAACAGGCTGCCCAGGGAGGTGGTGGAGTCTCCTTCTCTGGAGATGTTCAAGACCTGCCTGGATGCCGACCTGTGCGACCTGCTGTAGGGAACCTGCTTTGGCAGGGGGGTTGGACTCGATGATCTCTGGAGGTCCCTTCCAACCCCTACAATTCTGTGAACATCCATGTGTGGTGTACATACAGCACAGTTCAGCCTTGTCTGTATGGGATGATTTTACTGGATGAGGGTTTTAAATACTTTCTCTTTTGTTTGACAGTTCAGTGCTGGAAGAGGAAAGCGCCCTGCGATCTGGCTCGATGCTGGCATCCATTCCCGAGAGTGGGTTACCCAAGCGAGTGCAATGTGGATAGCTAGAAAGGTCACTTTGACAGTGATTGATGCTATTTTGTCTCAAGCATGCCTCTACTTAGAAGTTCACTGCGCCTGCATGTGTTCAGCCTGCTTTGTGGACTCTCTTTTCCCTGCTCTGAAAGCCAGTCTTGCCTCTGTACACTGTTAGAGGGTAAGAAATTTGCTGATAATCACCATGTGATTATCGTTGTGTCTGCATAGATTGCCTCTGACTATGGGAATGATCCATCCATCACCTCTCTGCTGAACAACCTGGACATTTTCCTGCTGCCAGTCGCTAACCCTGATGGATACGAATTCACCCACACCACAGTGAGTAAAGCACATTGCGTGTCTGAGCTGACTGAGAAAGCTGTGGTGCCCTTCCAAGCCAATAAAAGTGAGGGAAATAAGCTCTGAAAGTCCATTTCCTGATGTTTTAAGGTGGAGTTACGAAAGAAGCCAAAGACAGTTGTCTAATCCATCTTTCTCCTTCACTGTAAGTTCACCAACCCTTTGATTCTACGACTCCTTGGCTGTCAGCCCATCAGAAATATTCTCAGGCTTGTGTCTAGCATCCCTTCCTGCTGAATGGCAAACTATTTCTAGACAGCAGGGTTAATGCAAGGATTGAGGTCTGTGCCTTTACAGCCAAAGCGTGTCCTTGTTTCAGAACCGCATGTGGCGGAAGACCCGCTCCAAGAACTCAGGCAGTCTGTGTGTTGGAGTGGATCCAAACAGGAACTGGGACGCAGGTTTTGGAGGTAAGGATAAAGTTTCTGGATTCTAGCTGAAGGAAGAAAATTCCCTTTTGTGCCCCTGGATCCTCTTATACTGGACCAGCAATCTTCTTAATGTAAGGGACTCTGGAAGAAAATTATCAGGTAGAATGGAAGCTGTTTTATAAAGATAATTTCATGTTGATTAATTGCTAATGAGCAAAGGATGAAGGAAGTAATCTGTATCTTCCAGAACTGGTGTCCCTTGGGTATTCTGCTCTAGTATTTATCAGCACATAAGCTTTTGGATCATAGGAAAGCTCAGCTTAGTGTTGATCCGCCTTGAACTTCCATGAGTACCAATTCTTAAAGATTTATTTTTGCTCCCACTTTGTACCAACAGGTCCTGGAGCCAGTAGTAACCCCTGTTCTGACTCTTACCATGGACCCAGTGCCAACTCAGAGGTGGAAGTTAAATCTGTTGTAGATTTTATTACGAGTCACGGAAACATCCAGGCCTTCCTCACCCTCCACAGCTACTCTCAGCTCCTGATGTATCCCTATGGTTATAAATGCACTCCACCAGCAGACAACGCTGAGCTGGTGAGACACAATGACTTGGGTTTAACTTCTTCTGTTCTGTCCAGCTGGCTTTCCACACTGAAGTTATAAGGATGAAAACAAGGGTCGTCCATAACAGTAACCACCCATGAGAGCAAGCAAAGACCTGGGGAAATGCAATGCCTTTAAAAGAAAAGCCATGGTCTTACGCAAGCACACGACCTCCCTCTCCATTCTTGGCCTTTGCTTAAGCAGTAATCCTTCTTTCTGCTTGAAAGACAGCATCTCAGCTGTAATGTGTGTGATAGAGTATGAACCACTGTCATAATTGAAGTGGACAGGACTGTCAGTAGGATGAGTAATTAAGAAATTGATTGATTTGGTGTGACTGTATTTTTTTTTCCTTTTTTTTTTCTTTTTTTTTTGTGGGAGTGAGAACAGGCTGTAAACCAGCTTGGAGATTTTCCTGAGTACAATTCAGGCTGGTGAAATCTCAACATTTAATGTGGCTACACTCTGACTCATCCTTTATCCTTCCCTCTGCAGAACACCATAGCGAAAGCTGCTGCCAATTCCATCCAGTCCCTGTATGGCACCACCTACACAGTGGGGAGCATTTGCACTACTATCTGTGAGTAATTTTGCTCTTCTGATCCCTCTTGGGAGCAGAGCTCCTCCTGGAGAGTGACTTTGGAGCTGAGTTCTCCCATGGAAACCTCATACTTGCTCCTTGCAGGCATAAGAAGTATGAAAGCAGAACTCAGATCAATCCTCTGTTCATCCTCTGGTTTTTCTCCCTTTCTCTTTCAGACCAAGCCAGCGGAGGCAGCATTGACTGGAGCTATGATTATGGCATCAAATACTCATTTGCCTTTGAGCTGAGAGACACGGGTCGCTATGGATTCCTCCTTCCAGCTGCCCAAATAATCCCCACTGCTGAGGAGACCTGGCTGGGTCTGAAAACAATCATGGAATATGTACGAGACAACCCATACTAAAAGCAGGGATGGGAACCAGCTGTCAAGATCAGCAAGCTCAGAAATCCTCTTCCTTTGGTGTGCTGTAATCATACAGCAGCTGTCTGAATAAAAAACCTGCGTGCGTTCTGAGTGTTTCATAGAATCATAGGATCACAGAAACATTAATGTTGGAAAAGACCTCTAAGATCATCTAATTCAACCATCCTGCCAACAGGGACCTGTTGAGGGACCTGCCAACAGTATTGCCCAATAAGCCACATCCCTAAGTACTGTATCTACACGTTTCTTGGACACCATCCCTGTCATGTTGGTTTCTGTGCCTTTCTGTGGGTCTGGTAGATTCCTACAAGGTGTCACAGATTTTAGGACTCAGCCAAAAGATGAGCTTGGAAAGGAGAAGACTGCATCAAAGCATCCTGCCCTATGGCCTCTTGGGTGCCCTCTGCAGCTCCATCTTCATTAATAAATGCCAAATGTGTTTGCACCAAGCAACAATTGCCCTTAGCAGCATTTTGTACCTTTATCAAACCTAACAGGTTTATCTCTTGTCCTCTAATCCCCCAGCAGCTGGTGAGTTACTCATTGCTCCGTGTGCTTGGCGGGAGAGCAAACAGTCCTGATACGAGTGAGTGAAATGTTAGTTCAGACTCATTGGCAAGGCATTAAAAGTGATGGTACTGCTGCTATTGGGTTAAACACAGCTGTGCTGGGTACAGAGCAGCCTGTATCCTCCTGGCACTCATTTTTCAACCTGTCCCAAAACCCTGTCCTCCAACCGGTGATAAAACGCTGCTGGGAAAAGCCTGCTGGTGTGGAGGACCAGGGCTGCAGAGCTCCTGGATCCCACTGAGCTGCAGGGACTCTTGCTGAAGTTGCAGACCCATGAAGCTTCAATCCAAACATCCATGTCTTGAGGTTACCTGGCCCTTCTGAAGGCATATGGCTGGAAGACTACGTCCTCTTCTGGGGTCTGCAGTACCAACAGGACCCAGAGCAAGTCACCAGGAAGGACAGGAGGACGTCTCATGATGGGACACTGAGATGGGTTGATGTGGCCTGGAGATGAGATGGACCCAATAGCAGCCCTCCCATCCTTATGAGGATACTATTATGAAAACAGGACCAGGAACACTAAGAGAGACAATGGGATCATCTGAAACGAGAGATTCAGGCTGGACACATGAAAATCTTCCACCAGGAGGCCAACCCAGCAACAGAACACACTGTGGGATTTCCATTGTTGGAAGACTCCAAAACCCAACGTGGAAGGACCTGGGCTTCCCCCAGGGCCGAGTCCTCAACAGGCTGTGAGGGCTCAGAAGGCTCCAAAATCTGACATGGAAGGACTTGGGCTGCCCTCAGAGCTGAGTCACTGGGGAGGTGGGATACAGCCCTCCAGATATGCCATCTCATCACAGCTACACCATGATCCACCTCAACCAAGACCTCAATCCTGGCACCACAGCTGGGACCAGCTCACAATCATCATCACAAACACAAATAGGGTATCCTAGATAGGAACCTTGTGATTTGGTGTTCTGAAGCCATAAAAGACCCCCAGCTGTGGCACCATCCCCTGTCCCACCCTGCTCCCACGGGAGCACGTCCTCACCGTCCGTCTGTGGCAGCACTGGACTTGGAGGAAGATGTTATCAGATCCTTCCTTGACTTGGCTGCTCTTTTATTGACTTCTCCAAATAAAACAAACATTTGGGCTCCCGGAAGCCTTTGCTGGCTTATCTGCTTGTGGCTAGTGGCCCTGTGGGGACGACAGAGCTGGCCTTGGTGAGGGACTATATAGGTGCCCATATATGCATTTAGGACCAAAGGCCACCTGGTCAACATGAAGTTCCTCCTGGTCTTCACTGCCCTCCTGGTGGGCACCTTCAGCGAGCAGCTTTTTGTGGGGTGAGTCTTGCTGAAAGCAGCAGTTGGGATAGGGATGGAATGGGGATATGAATGGGAATGGGTTTGGGGACGGGGATGGATCCTGCTCACCTCATGCATGAAGAAAAAATCCGTTTGGGTGTTTCTTTCACTGGTGGTGGGACCTCCAAGCATTCCCCAGGGAACTGAGACACATTTGGGGTCACATTTGAGATCCCCCGGAGAGCTGTGCTTCAACAGAGCAGGAGCACATCGCCTTTGGCTCCATGTTAAAAGCAAAAAGCTCTGCTAATGGGTTTTATTTCGTAATGCTAATCTCTGGAAATCCCTCCCCAAATATAAGTCATTGTTATCAAAGTGTCTGCTCTGTTGTTTCACAGAAACACCCTTCCCTTCTGCCAAAGCCAAACCTGCCTTATTTCCTACAATTTTAGATGCTCTTGTGATCAAAGGAAGGCATGAGACCACCTTGAGCTCCCTAGTGCTTATTTTTTTTCCCATGCATGTTCTGAAAATGCAATTTCTAAGCCAATAAGGACCACTCATACCATCCCCTTCCTGTCCCCTGCACCCACTGATGTCTCTACCACCCACTAGGGACCAAGTCCTCCGTGCTGTGGCCAGCGATGAGGAGCAGATTGCCCTGCTCAGGGCACTGGGTGAGCAGGTGGACCTGCAGGTGAGACCACCATAATATCAATTTTTACTAATTTTTATTTTTTTACTTGAATGAAGAAGCTGGGTTGCTGTGGGGGAGTGAATCCTGGCAAGAAATTATGGCAATGGGAGTAACAGAGAGATAAATCAGTGATAGGGAAGAGACTCCCTGCCACAAATCTGATTTCAGGTTTATCTTTACCAAAAGATTAGAACTGGCACACAATGACTCCATCATGTCATTGCAGCTGCTCAGTTCACAAATCCTCTTTATTCAAAGATGTGTCCATGAGTGATTTGGGCTGAAGTATGTAGAAAAGATCCACTGAGTAAGGTAAAGAGCCTCCCAAGCCTCCTGGTCCCCAGGTTTGTCTAGACATCTTTTTGATCTTTGAAGACAGTAGGAATGGAGAATGTTTCATATGCTTCAAAGCAGTAGAAATTGAGAACTTTCTAGAACTTTCAAGGCAATAGGAGTGGAGAACATCTTAGATCCTTGAAGACAGTAGGAATAGAGAACTTCCTGGATCTTTCAAAGCAGTAAGAATGAAGAACTTCCTAGATCCTTGAAGGCAGTAGAAATTGAGAACATCAGATGCTTCAGGACATTTGAAATGGAGGCTTTCTTAGATCCTTTACAGCAGTTGAAATGGAGACCTTGGATCCTCCAAGGCAGTAGAAATGTCTGCTCTTGTCCCCACCAGATTGACTTCTGGCGCGACCCCACCAAACCTGGGCGCCCGGCTGACCTGCGGGTGCCCTTCTCCAGGCTGCAAGCGGTCAAAGTCTTCCTGGAATCCCATGGCATTTCCTACAGCATCATGATCGAGGATGTGCAGGTAGGGTGGTGGAAATGAGGGGAAGAGAAGGCAATGGTGGACAATGCTTTGCAAAACCTACACATGGGGTGGAGATGGTGGGTTTTGGAGGCAAGATGCAGACTGCATTGGGGCTGGGTAGGATATTTCTACCTGAAAGCTTTCTCTCTAACAGCACTTACTGGATGAGGAAAAGAGAACCATGATGCTGTCCAGGCGGATGGAGAGAAGTACCAACAAGTTCAGTTTTGCATCCTATCACACTGTAGAGGAGGTACTTTGTTCTGCATAGTTTTGTGTTTGTGGAACCCAAAGCATGGCTGTGTCCAGGGAAGCTCTGCATGTTGTGTCTGGTGCCAGATATCCTAAAACCCAAAGGTAAACTAGGATGAGCTACACATCCCAGTACCTCCTCCTTTCAGATCTATGACTGGATGGACACCCTTGTGGCAGATTACCCCAACCTCGTTAGCAAGATCCAGATTGGTGAAAGCTATGAGAAGAGACCCCTCTATGTGCTGAAGGTGAGTACAGGGCCAACCTCTTTTCATCCCAACCAGGTGCTGGAGCACTATGGAGTCCCCTCCTTGGAGTTCTCCAAACCCACCTGGATATGGGGTTGGGCACAGGTCAGATGGACCAGCGGTGCCTCCAACCCCAATCCTTCTGTCATTCTGGGAGCCACAGGACTGACATTCCATTCTCTGCACAGTTCAGCACTGGGGGATTGAATCGGCCAGCAGTCTGGTTGGACACTGGCATCCACTCACGTGAATGGGTCACCCAAGCTACTGGCGTGTGGACAGCCAACAAGGTAACCCCATAACATGGACATCGCCATCCAAGTGGGGTGGGGAGTGTCTGTGGGCGAACGAGGCATCACCCAAATCTCACTGGCATGAAATGGCCCACCATCACTGCATCCATCCATGGCAATAGGCCTGGGCATCAGCTGGGGCTGTACCTGGGCTCACAATCCCAATTTCTTAAATAAAATCCAAACAATGGCACCAACCTCATCCCAAACACATGCATGTGTAGGCCGTGGAAGAGAGAGAAAGGAAAAAAAGGGATGAACAGGTTTTCAAAGTCAGGGGTTGTAGATTGCAGTCGGGTTGGGATTGTAAGCAGTGGGGACTGTCCATGAAGGTTTGGGTGAAGGGCAAAAGTTGCAAACCCAAGCCATCTCCATGGGTGCTGTGGTTGAACCCAATTGGGAAAAAAAATAATCCTACAGCCTCTCCAGTTCTACAGTCCTTTGTTCCTGGGACAGTGAGACAGCTCCCACTCCTCTCCCAATACAGCTTGCTGAAGATTATGGCCAGGACCCCACTGTCACCTCCCTTCTGGACACCATGGACATCTTCTTTGAGATTGTTACCAACCCCGATGGCTACGCCTTCACCCATAGCACTGTGAGTGCAGGGACTATGGAGTTACATATCCCAGTGGTTGGTTCCAGCCATTATGTCCAGCAGTACTTTTTTGGGTGGCATATGTGGAGTTGACTCCATGCACCTGTGGTCTCACATAGAACCGTATGTGGAGAAAAACGAGGTCTGTCAATGCTGACTCCTCCTGCATCGGTGTGGACCCCAACCGAAACTGGGACGCAGGCTTTGGAGGTGAGGTATCACTCACATCAAAGGCTTGAACCTTCCTGCTGCTGGGGAGAAACCCGGGCTACAAACCCTTCCAGTGCACCTCATTGCATGTTTTCTCCTCCATCATGCCCCAGATTCTGGTTCCAGCAGCAACCCCTGCTCTGAAACCTACCACGGTCCCTATGCCCACTCTGAGAGCGAAGTGAAATCTATTGTGGACTTCATCCAAAGCCACGGGAACGTGAAAGGACTCATCTCCATTCACAGCTACTCCCAGATGTTGATGTTCCCCTATGGCTACAAGAATACACCTGCACCCGATCATGAGGAACTGGTGAGATGGCCCCAAAAAATGGCTATGGGGCTGCAACCACCAGCTTTGGGGGGAAATGGTTGGAATAGATGATCCTAGTGGTCTTATCAATCTTGATGATTCTACGATCCTATGAAAAGTCAGGTCAGACTACGCTGGGACCCCAATGTTCCTCCTGTTAGAT